GGCTGAAATCGGAGTTGACAAGTAATACTTAATTGTGTTGCAGGGACTTCCTCAAACCACTAAAATCAAGAACGAAGAAAAAGCTGTGGGGGTACTCAAGTTATCGTGTTCACAGACACACAGACAAACTTGCAAAGATTAAGTTTTTTCGAATCAGGGAGGTGTAAAACGTCTAGATTTGTCAAAATATTTTTATCGATTTATCGTACGATTACACTTTTTCTCTATACTTCGTATATGAGAAAGTAAAAATGTATCAACTTGGGAACAGAACAAAACTAAGCACAACACAAAAATAAAACACAAACACAAAAGAAAACACAAACACAATGCAAACAAACGAAAACACACACGCAACACACACACACAACGCAAATAAATGAAAAAAAAACAAACAAAAAAACAAACACAACACTCATAACTTAAACACAACTTAATTGCAAACATAAACGCATAGTGCTCACAGTCTAGCCCGTGGCGTCAAATCGCACCCTGTCCGAGCGCCGGCGGACGCGCCTGATTCAGTGAATGACTATAAAAAAATAAAAAAAAAAATTACAATAGAGTTTCATGACTAAAACCATTGCGCACCTATTGAACGTGATGACATATATATAATAGTGCGGAATAGTTGATTAAAAATTATAATTAGTAAACAGTGCGTTCAGTGAATAAAATAAACGAGCCGACCCGCAGCGTATCATACGCCGCTATTTAGTTGTTTTATTTTCTACTTTTCAGTAATTCATAATTTGTGAATTCGACAGTACCAATGCTGCCACTGAAAATATTTGCTTTAAAACACTAACCCCCCCTTTCCCCTAACCTCGACCCTACACCCCCCCCCCCCCCCCCGTGAAAGCAGCCTCCTCTTAGTTATTTCTTAGTTACCTCCTGTTTAAAATCGAACTAAATTATCTGCCCCTAATAGAAACCCGGCTCTACGTTTTTTAAACATTTAGCTTTGTAAACATTTAGAGTGAACACCGCTCACCAGACAATGTGGGGGTGGGGGTGGGGGGGTGGGGGTAGTGATAGTGAGATAGTGATAGAGAGAAAGAGAGGGGACTGCAAGGAGGCGCTTGCAGCTTGTTTTCTAACGGCTCCCAGAAGAGAATTATATATAGATCTATAGATAAAAGATAGTCTTTTAATTTTTATCAATCCATGCTAATTATAATATTCCAACAATAATAATGTCCTCTTTAAACGTCTGCATAATTTGCATTCACGTTGTGCTAAATTATATTATTCCAACAATAATTCCCTCTCGGAGATTTTGCATTAAATTTTTTTTATTAGCGTGAGTTGAATTTATTTTTAAATTACCTCCCTTGGCAAAATTACAAAACAGTTAAATTAATTAGTTTTTCTTACCCTACTGTTATGACAAAGGGGGAAATCAGTACCACTGATCTGCTTCTAAATGTAACTCAATCAGTCCAGTATCAGATACATAGTACTGTAATCAGACACATAGTAGGTAGGACTAAGTAATTTATTAAAGCCTTATACAACAAAAATATCAACTACTTTTGAGATTTAACTTCAGTAGCAGATTCAATATCTAAATCTTGTCATACAATCAATCTAGATCTACTTCAATTTTAGATAATTTCGTTTGCTAAATAAAATGATTAGAATCTTGAGCAAGATTTTAGATATTAGAGACAATTATTTTTATAGCTATTAAGCCCATTTGTATTTATTAATTATTGATATATTATGACTCGAATATAGGTCTAAATTTTGTAATTTTAAAAAAAAACCACTTTTGTTCACGCGTGTAGACGGGGTGGGGGGGGGGGGGATATCGGGTCAGTGTGGACGTACACATGCGGAATTAAACCACAAAATACTTACATTTGATAATTATACAAAGGAATTTTTTAAAATGTATATAAAATGTAGATTATACATTAAATCGACAGTTCTCGTGGTTAAAAAAGCGATTTTTTTACAAGCGGGAGGGGATGGGGCAGTGACCGCGATAATTTTCTAAAACAATTTATGTTAATTAAAGTTTATTTTTTAACATTTTAAACAATGGTAACTAAATCATAGTAGGCCTACATCAAAATTCAAACATTTTGTGGACGCCATAAATAGATGACCCCTAATAGATGTAACCGAAAAATATTAAATCCCCACATTATATTATTAGTTATGTACACATTGAATGTAAATGAATTAGTAATTTTGCAGCATGTATTCATGTATTGAGAGGACTACTAAATTTTTGTGAATGTCCACAATGGGGGTGGGGGGTTTCGTCGAAAGTGGACGCGTGTGGGCGAGGTGAGGGGGGTCTAAAATCCCAAATTTTGGTGGACGTCATAAATGGGTGGCTACAGGACATTGCCCCCCTGGAAATCCCCCCCCCCCCCCCGTATTTACCCCCCTGTCAATTCCCCCCCCCCCCTCTCAAGTTAGAATCCTAACTAGAATTCTATACCTATATGCTACTTTAATCCAAACCTTAAGAAAAAGACCAAAACCTAAGCATCCACCTTAGCCTAAAACTTCACACAAAACCAAAACCAACGCTAGACACAACCATAACCCTAACTCTAACCCTAATCTTAACCCTAGCCATAACCCTAAAACCTAACCCTAACCCTAGGCACCGGTGTTTTAGTAGCCCAACTAATTACTAGTCCTTCAGATATTTGATTACTGCATCTGTATGAACTACATATGTCAAGTACTACAGATCTTTGATTACAGTCATTGTTTGAGTACCGATGTTTGCAAATAATTTTTTTTAAAGTCTAATGTATTTGACGTACTTTCTGCTGTTTTTAGTTGACACCGCAGGTGGAGCTCCTGAATGTGATTTGAGAAGCCTCCAAGGCTACTCCGTGTAGTGGTGTTGACACAACGGTTTCACGTCCGACTGACAGGCCGCGTAAGACGTGTCACTCAATGTGGAGACTTTCATGACATTTTTGTAACGTAGTTTCTTTTTTATCTTTGTATTGTTTAATAGACATGTTTGTTTTAACAGGCCCACGCAAAATCGAATTTGACCGTGTCATATTCCGACGCAAAAACATTTTTTAGCTTGATTGTTAGAATGCCACTTTAATTTCAGCACAAAAGTATTAAAAAGTAAACATACTTGCTTTTAGAAAATATATATAAAAAAAAAACACTATACATTAGACCCAGTTCTATGCCTTATTTTCTCTCTCTCTCTCTCTCTCTATCATTCAATATATAGACATATATGTATGTCTATATATCTATCTCTATCTCTATATAGATATCTATAATCTATATATTTCTTTATATATATATATATATATATATATATATATATATATATATATATATATATATATATATGCTTGTTTATAACATTTTAAGAAACTATTTTTTTCTGCGTGTATTAAAAAGTTACATTTTAAACAAATGTATGATAATTAATAAAAATGGTTAATGGAAAGGGTTACAATTAATTAGTAAGTGCTGTCCAGATAAAGAGAGGGTCGTGGAGATTGATGGAAGGTGCATCGGTGGGACGGTGCAGTCAGAGGCGTAGCGAGGGGGGGGGGGGGCGGGGTGCGGACCGCACAGGGTGACATCATTTAGGGGGGGGGTGACACCAAGGCAAAAAATAGCAAAATATATAGAGAAAAACTTTAGGGGGGTGCAAATCGAAAGTTTGAGGGGGGGGGGGGGGGTGCAAATCAAAAGTTTGAGGGGGAGGGGGTGCAAATAAAAAGTTTGAGGGGGGGGGTGCAAATCGAAAATTTGAAAGTTTGTCCACGGGAAGGGTCGCTACGCCTCTGCGGGGTGACACCATTACGTGCCGCACCGGGTGACACCCAACCTCGCTACGCCACTGGGTGCAGTTATTTTTAAAAATCTTCTATCCAATGTGTAAGTAGATTTTAGCGACAAAGCATTGAAAATGGACGGAATTTAGGGGCCGGGGTAATTGAAGTATGTAGGGACGGGGTACTTTAAAGAGTTTCCCTGCAGACAGTTCACAATTTTATGGATTACATTGGTCGTCAACCAAAACTCGTCGCATTTGTAATATTTAATAGTAAAATCAAACAAGTAGATCATAATAGAATGTGTTCAATCCAATTATTGCATATTAGAAAAAAAAAACACATCACACGTGGACATCATCGTTCGTCAAGACAAAGAGGAGGAGGGGGTCTATACAGGCTGTGTGCCACAGCCCCGCCAATCGATATTCGGGATCTGGTTCACTGAGCAGATACAAATAATGTGGCATCTAAAGTATCAGGTCGATTTTTTAAATCAGATGTAAACATTGTGGCTACACCAGCTTTGAAACTGTTCAAGTCTTTGTCGTCAGACGGAAGGTTGTTTTGTTGTTTTTTAAACTAGGTATTGTAAAAACGGTATTTTAAAATATGCGGCCACATTCTGCAGAAACTAAATGTAGTGGCCATATCGTAAACGCTTTCATGCAGCTAGGCATAGTCTACCTGGCTAGATTTTCTCTACCTTGCTGATTTTTTTCGTGTCAAATTACTCTAAATACTGTGACGCGACAGAGGTAACAATGAAACAAGTTAATAAAAAGTCTAGTGACAATTTAAGCGCAATTTCCTTATGTTATCTAAAAATAGATATAATGCTGGGGTGCGTTCAAGCTAGGAGAACGATCGGTTTGTAAGTGTTTATGTAATTTTTAAAAAAAATTTGTGACCGAACGAAAGGATATTTTTGAAAACTTTCTTCGGCAATATTGTTCTAAATTATGGCAGGAATCGATTGGTAAATGTTTCAAGTCGCTAAGTGGTCTGGTTGCCGAGGTATGGACCAAAAACTGCATTTTTTCGAGGTTTTTTGGCTTTTCCGTGAAATCCAGGAAGGAATTCCGGGAATTTTTTTGGCCCACAATCATCCTCGGAACTTGCTTAACATATTTGCTTTTGGAACTAGTCCTCGATATTGCTTCGTTGAGGAGGAGATACGACTTAAAGCTGCGGACACACATCGGACACACATCCTTGACGAGTTAATAATCGCAATTGTCCAGTATGGAAATTGCCCTTATAAAATAATAGCAACCTAGTAGTGTCGTTTTACAAGGTGATAAGAAGAAATGGGTGAATACTTTACTGCAGTAACACGTGGAACACGTAAGAACAAGAGAAAAGGACTTGTGTGAGACAAATGACTTGTGTGGACGATTGTGTGGGACAAAAGGAATTGTGTGGAAAAACTGCGTGGGACAAAACTACAAAAGGACTAGTGTACCATGGCTTGGTTCATGATGATGTGTTTTGCAGCTGAAAATAAATAACTATACTAATACTAAGATTAACTGCTTACCTGTGGTCCAGACTGTTGGCTATACACAGTATGTAAGAGTGGCTTTTCCATTTCTTCAGTTTTTGTTGAGTTTTCCAATATTAGATCCGTTTTGTCCTTCATGTTGTGGGTATCCAATAGTGTGTCAGATATTCCAACTTCCTTACACTGGCCATCCAATAGTGTGTCAGATATTCCAACTTCCTTACACTGGCCATCCAATAGTGTGTCAGATATTCCAACTTCCTTACACTGGCCATCCAATAGTGTGTCAGATATTCCAACTTCCTTACACTGGCCATCCAATAGTGTGTCAGATATTCCAACTTCCTTACACTGGCCATCCAATAGTGTTTCAGATATTCCAACTTCCTTACACTGGCCATCCAATAGTGTGTCAGATATTCCAACTTCCTTACACTGGCCATCCAATAGTGTGTCAGATATTCCAACTTCCTTACACTGGCCATCCAATAGTGTGTCAGATATTCCAACTTCCTTACACTGGCCATCCAATAGTGTGTCAGATATTCCAACTTCCTTACACTGGCCATCCAATAGTGTGTCAGATATTCCAACTTCCTTACACTGGCCATCCAATAGTGTGTCAGATATTCCAACTTCCTTACACTGGCCATCCAATAGTGTGTCAGATATTCCAACTTCCTTACACTGGCCATCCAATAGTGTGTCAGATATTCCAACTTCCTTACACTGGCCATCCAATAGTGTGTCAGATATTCCAACTTCCTTACACTGGCCATCCAATAGTGTGTCAGATATTCCAACTTCCTTACACTGGCCATCCAATAGTGTGTCAGATATTCCAACTTCCTTACTGTGGCCGTTGAATGTAGAACCTGACTCTGCAACACTGCCTTTGAAAGCTGTTACAGGCCCTATGAAAGCTTGACATCCGTTTTCATATGCCTCATTGAGTTTGATCGCGGGCAGCTCATTGTTGCATCTAGTGTTAGATTGCCCCTGACAGGATTTGTCATGTCCTGTCTTAATGTCAATGTTTTTATTTTCTGATGATGCTTTTTCAGTGAGTTTATTATATTTGTTGCTGATTTGGCACTGCATATTGGCAGCTACTTTATTGTCCTCCTCATTAGGACAGAGTTTTTTTAGTGCCCCTTTCAGATTTAAATCTTCCGCAATGGCCACACCACCTCCTTTTTTTCTCTTTCGTCTTTTTTTCTTTTTCTTTTCATTGTCATCCTTACTTGAAGTAGTATTCTTAAGACTGCGGCTGTCTATTCCCGGCGCCCCATCTATCTGTTGGCTGACACTTTTATCACTATCATTAGACTCCTCTTTGCAGTTGTCTTTATCTTCTACAATTTCATTTCCTGTTTTGTCAGTGTATCTATTCAAATCCTTTGCTGTGTTCATTTTTACCAGATTGGATCCTGCATTTTTTTTAAGATCCAACTGAGTATCCAGGTTAAATGAATCAACTTCCGACATGGCTTGAGTCAATTACAGGAGTTTTTGAAAAAGGCCAACAATGTTTTATCTTTACGATTTGTTAGCCATTCTGTTGCTTCAGAAAGGTTTTTACCAAGTTAACAAACATTGAGCTCAAAGTTGCACCTGGAAATAAATTTTAAAAAAAAGTTTACTGAAATAGGAATATTTTCAAAAGTACTCATCATTGCTGATTTCTAACCCTACACAAATACTCAAGCACAACTTGGTAATTGCCAACAATAAAGAAACAACGTAAGTGTAAGTCTGATAAATAATAATGAATAATGATAATAGTAAAAAAATAAACCCAAATTTCCACCGCATTCCACTTGGAAGATTGTGCGATCCTCACGGTTTTAATATGTCTAGTTGATTTAATTTCATTATTCATTGTCATAACCACTGCTTGTAAAATAGCATGTTGTGAGTCACTGGACAAAAGCAGTTTATAATCTTATGAACCATAGTTCTATGTAATGTCTAGCAGCCATGAGCTTTACCGACTCAACCATGCCAACACCTACACAATACATAATACAGTTACTTTTTCTACTCTACAAACTATATTAAATTGGCTTCTCTACAAACTACACATCTGTACACAAAAATCTTAGACCTAAAGTTATCTCTTTTTAGTAAACCTTTTGGAATTTAGATATTTTTAATTTAAATCCACCTAGTTCTTAATGTATTTATTTACAGCTCTAGATCTGATGAACAAACTAAAATGTATTTAAAGACTGATGCTATTTGGACCCAGTATGTATAGCTCACATTCAGCGTTTCCTTCAGGCAACTCTTCTGAAGAATCACTGCCTTTTGGAGACACCCCCCCCCTCTTGGGCAAAATAGAAAAAAATACATAATTTTATTTTAAATATATAGAAATACTTTAGCCAATGTCCAGAAGATTCAAGTGTGTGTCGCCCCCCCCCCCCCCCCCCCAAGAAAAAATGTGTGAAAGAAACGCTGCTCATTATTTGGAATCGGTTTATTTACTCATTACCTGCATTAAAATTCTTACTTTCATGCATTCTGCTTGTTATCGTGGTTTATATGTATGACTTTAATTCTGTTGCACTTTTAGGGGGTGGGTGGGGTAAAACCCTTAAATTAGAGAGATGAATCAGGAGATTATTACCTAAGGTTTGAATGGTTGGCCTTCATTATTCGGTAAATACGGACAGTTTCTACCAGGCATCTCCCCCCCCCCCAATTGTAATTGTCTCTAATTGACATTAAAAATTAGGCCTAATACTAAATGTAGTAATAGTCAGATTACTAACCTGGCCTACAGATCTTGGCCCCAAGTAGGAATTAAATATTATAGGCCTACTAAAAATACTATTTAAATAGGCTTATTAATCACTATAGGGGTTATAGCAGAGCCTTATATAATATAGGCTTAGTATATATATGATATATGGGATGGTTCGGACACACATTAAGAAAATAAAAATAAAACATCACAAATCATGCTTTGGACTGGAATCTCAGGGAAAAAGGAGGGTGGGCCGGCCAAGGAAGACACAGAGAAGGGAGAAGAACGGTTGAAGAAGAGGTGAAAACAGCTGGGCTCACATGGGCACAGATAAAGGGAGCAGCCCAAAACCCTGAGCATAGATAAAGGGAGCAGCCCAAAACCAAGTCCGCTGGAGATGTGTGGCTGCAGCCCTTTGCTCCCCAGGGCCCACAAAGGAATGATGTCTATATATTATATATCTATAATATAACGCTGGTGGTAGTGTGTCAGTCAGTGCTATGTGTTGTGCTTTTTACTTGCATTGCAGTGTCTTATTATAAGCAATAGAGTAGGGTTTGTTTATATAATGACTTAAATTTATTTTATAGTTGCCACTGTTTTTACTCTTTCGCATAATGTAAAAAAAAAATATTAAATACATGCAAATCGCTAAAACATATTAAATGGATCAATGTCAAATATCATTTTTTGTTTAGATTCCTAGAAAAAGTGGATACATTTTAAAAATATAGGGTTGAAAAAACAAATTAATTATTTTGTAATTTGCCAAGGGAGGTAATTTAAAAATAAATTCAACTCATGCTTATAAAAAAATGTGAATGCAAAATCTCCAACAGGGAATTATTGTTGAAATAATATAATTCGCAAAATGTGTATGCAAAATCTGTAGACGTGTAAGAGGACACTATTGTTGGAATATTATAATTAGCATGGACTGATAAAAGGCTACATTTTATTTATTTTATTCACTGAATGCACTGTGTACTAATGATAATTTTTAATCGATTATTCCGCAACATTATACACGTTCATTAGGTGCGCAATGGTTTTAGTCATGAAACTCTATTGTGAATTTTTTTAATTTAAAGAACTGAAAAAAAATAATGAATGAATTGATAAAGTGCTATATGGTAGGTAAAACACGGATATTTTAAACACCGCCTTTTATTTATTTTATACACTGAACATATTGTTTACTAATTATTATTCTATCTTTCGGTTTGCCGAAAAGCTGGGGTTTTTATAGTCATTCACTGAATCAGGCTCATCTGCAGGCGGTATGTTTTCTTTTGTGTTTGTGATGTGTTTGTGTTGTGTTTAGTTTTGTTCTGTTCCCAAGTTGGTACATTTAAAAAAGATTTATCATGGCGGAGCAAATGTATGCAGCTTTTGCGTTTGTGTTTTTTGTGTGTGTTTGTGTTGTGTTTAGTTTTGTTCCCAAGTTGGTACTTTTAAAAAAGATTTACAGTGGCGGAGCATGGGTATGCAACTAGTATTTATATATCATATAATAACTAACAAGGCCTAGCCTAAATATTAGAACTAATATATAAACTTTGTCTTAGTGTTAAAATATCTAGAATCTAGACTAATTAATTAGTAAAACTAATAATAGCCTATTAGGCCTAGAGCCTATCTAATAATTATTATATTATTATGCTCAGGGGTGGATTAAGCTTGATCTATATGGTCAAAGCCCGAAAGTGCGGCCAAAGCACGCATTGGCAGGCAAATGTGCTCATTGGCCGACTCTCTTGGCTAAAGGCCGAAGAGCTTAGCACTGAGAGCATATTCCGTACATTGGCTGGCCTATGCGCACACTGGCCGGGACGTACTGGCCAAAGTCTGAAAAGTTTAAAATTGACAATGTATTTCATACATTGGTCAGCCAACGCGCGCACTGGCCAGGATGTCCTGTCTAGACTCAGTTGTGATCATGTTTTCATTATTCTGGGTGCGATTACATTGTGAGTAACGTATTGTTTGTATAGCATTTTATATGCAATGCGAGATGGACCAAAAGGGCCGTCAGACCAAGCAACTTCTATTACTTGAGAAGTATAAATCCAGGATAAATGTATTACAACCCTGATATTACAACTACAGTACTTTTAATTGTGCTTGATTGTAACTTATTTTTTAAAAATCGTAAATATATCTCTAAATACCTTTTTTAAAAATAAGCCTACTGTTGTAAACATGTTAGAGTTAAAGTGCTGCTTGTCTAGATCCCATCGGACACACTATGATCATAATAATAGATACTAGACTTACCCTGTCATCCCTTGGATAACTGTGGGTTTCAGGGGTCATCCATAAATGACATCACGTCTGTCACTTATCATCACAAAATAACCAGACCCCACATTCAAAAAGGCATTTTTTAACTTTTCTTCTTCTTCTTCGTTCTTAATTTTTAGTGTTGGGAGGGATTGAGCCTTATCTGCCAGAGGGTTTGAACTCGAGACTTTTTTCAAATTTATCAACCATAAGCTTTGCCGACTCGACCATGCTTCCATCACAATTAAGGATTACGTGTCAACTGGTTATGCGCCATTGAGGCCATTGACTCCGATTTCAGCCTGCTTTTCTTTTTGGATTTGCTTCCATAGCCTTTGTCCAACCAAGAACAATCTACAAGGCAGCAGTTGTTTGATTTTGGAGTTGTCTCTCCTAGAAGAGTGGCTGTCCCCAGCTAACGAGCCTCATCAGCCCGAGGGTTCGAACTCAAGACTTTTTCAGTTTAGCAACCATGAGCTTTACCGACTCGACCACGCCGACCCCCCTTTTTATCTTTTAAAAACACCTATTTTGACTGAGCATAGGTCTGACCCCACTATCCCTTCATATACTGACGTCACAGGTGACCTACTCAACTCTACTTCACCTGCCCAGTGTTTCGCCAAGTCTTTTATCGTTTAAAAAAACTATTCCGGCCTAGCATGTCTCTGACCACACTGTCCCTTCATATGATTAGGACAAAGAAACAGATGAACTCTACTTCATCTGCCCTGTATCCTGCCAAGTTCAGATAGGCAACTTTATCATTCACATCTATAAAAAAAAAAATTGAAATATTTTTTTTTACCATTGCCGTGATGTGTCTAAAACCCATGCCACCCGCATGAAAGCCTATTACACTAACAACTTAGCTATCTAGACTCATGACGTCACTGATGTTTTTTGTGCTAAATAATACTTTGAGTCTCCTTATGCAACTTGATTTACGGGCATAGGCCCTATCTAGATCTAGTAACTTTCAAATTAAATGTTATCTTAAATTAGCCAATTCCATAGCTAAACAAACAAAGATTATATAAAATAATAAAGGTCTGAAATAGTTTAGTATCTAGAAACTCATTATTATCTAAATCTAGATAAAATTATCTATATTCTACGACTGGTTTGCTTAAGTCTAGTTTTTGCTTAGCTCTTGCTAGATCTAGATTAGACTATTCTAGATCTAGATAGATAGATAAATCACAAAGATTTATATCAAGTATTTAAGGACTAAAGTAGTTTAATAAAGAAACTCAAAAATGTATTATGATTTCAAAATGGATTGTATTTTTAACTAATTAATCTTTGGTTTGACCTAGATTCTAGATCTAGATCTATAAATAACTTTTTTGGACAGATTGTAGAGCTAGAGAAATTTATTGTAAAACTAAATGAAAAAGACAGTTGAAAATTAATATAAGTGTTGGAACGTAATAAAAACAGCAAACGGACGTATTGACAGACAGCTTTAGAACGCGTTAAAGATCTGAAGAAGATATGAAATCTTGTATGGAGCCGCCATTTATTGTACTAAAAAGTAAACAAATCATGTGACGTCACTATTCACTCAAAGTTAAGTCGTTTATCTAAACTTTTAACATTAATGTGGTTAATCTACCAATGAATAAATCAATAAATTAATTAACGTCTTTAAATAAATTTGTGATTAACAGTCTGTCTGAAAACAAAAATTGTTCTCTACCTATATACTATTTTACAACTCTCCACATAGAGCAGATTCTCTCCAGTAGTCAATCAGACAAAAAACCAAACAAATAAATATTCAAACATGTAAACAAAGTTGAGTTTTAGTAGTATAGAGATGTCACTTTATATTATTTTATTATGTGTGATCAGTCAACTATACATACGCAGATCTGACAAAGCAAGCTAGCCTGATGTAATGTATATTACTGGCTGTATTTTATAGGATAAGCAAGATCAATCAGAAACCCACTTATTATTTTAGGGAGAGCTCACATTACTTGACATGAAGCGATGACATCTACACTTAGCACTGTCAAGAGTTGGCATTGATATCCAATTAAGGATGAACGTATATTTTCATGGGAGAAAAAATTCTCATACTTTCGTATTTGTAAATTTAGAGGACAAAAAAACTTATGGTTTGAAAATTCACCGTTCATTTAGATTGTACGAAACAAATAAAAATGGATAGGAAAATTATTTTTACTCTTGTTGAAAAGAGAAAATTTTGGGTCTCCCGAATCAGGGGGTCTCCTGTTCATTCTCATTAATTCGGTAAAGAAGGCAATTATACTAATCTACCTTTCAGCTCAAATAACTATGTTCAAAAAAGTTACTTACTGCCTTTTAAAAACATTTGGATTAAAGCGCCATTTGTAAGCTATTAGACGGATCCCTCATGCACTCACATGTTGAAGTAAAACATTTTTCTATCCTGTTTTGTTAAGATTTAGGGTTTTATTTCCTGATACCGAATTGTGTACCAGAAATAAAATGTATAAAATTTAATAAAAGTATTAATTTATTAGTAGGGCCTTCCTGATCTAATATAATATTATTGATTCATGATTTCTATCAATATCATACTTGTTTATGATTAGGCCTAGATTTAATGAAATGTATTTATTTAAATCTAGAATCTAGTATTTGTTGATCTAGGCTAGATTCTACAGATTAGATCTAAATCTAGTAGATCTAGTAGATCTAGTAGTAGTAGCCAGTAGATAGACCTAGAGGTGTGGAAAACTCTAAAATCGGCAGAGGCTAGTAATGTGAAAAAAAGTTGCCTCATTGTTAAGGCTTTAATGGAAGTATATTGTGATATATTTGTGTAAAATATTTTAAATTTTTAAATAACTGAACAATACACCAAAATCAATGGCTAAATATATCAAGTTAGGCCAGAAAGCAACTTTTAATAAATAGCAATGTTTGAGTTTGTGAACAAGATTTGCTCATAAACAGCTACAATCTGTAAATTTGAGTGGTTTCCCCTGAAAAACTTAAACGAAAGTAAATGAGCTTGGTTGCATCTGATGAAAACGTCACTAGATCTAGATCTAGTCTTTGTTTATTACTGAAAAGCTTTAACTATTGTTTAAAAACAGGTAGATCTAGCCTAGCTAGATCTATATACAAAAAGCTAGATCTAGATCTACATATTACTACAATACATATTACATAATGAATGAATCTTTAAAACATTTTTGTAACTTTCAAAACATAAATCCTCCTAAAAAATGTGAAATAATAAGATCTAATTAGTAATTAGATTTAATGAGTCACCTTTTTTTCACATTACTGAGTATTACTAAATTTAGTCTCGGCCTATTTTAGAGTTTACGTACCAAAAACGATAGATTACCTAGATCTAGATCTTAAAATTCTAGATCTAGACTAGATAGTTAATTAATTAATAGTTTTTTAGTAACTTGAATTTGTTAGTAATTTCACTACTAATTTGTTAGGTTCACTTGCAGAGTAAGACTTACTTTTTCTCTTTAGAGATCTAATCTAGCTAGATCTAGACCAGATCTCTAGAACTAGATTCTAGACTTGACCTAGAATCTAGAGCTCAGGATAAGGATTGACAGCTGAGATTCGTCTTCACAAAATGTTCAGTTGTTTTAATAATAATAAATATTAAATAATGTTAATCCGTGAAAGCTGAATAAGTGAATTACACTGAATAAAGTAGGTGATAAAACTGATAACTTGATAACTGAACAACAGTGGACTGACTGTGGTGACTAATATTAATAATAATTTACTAAACTGACTGTTGTTAGCGCCCAGTATCATAAATAGACCTAGAATCTAGATTTAGATCTTTGGCTAATAGTCCTAGATCTAATACTAGGCTAATACTAATTTAAATACTAGATCTAGATCTAAATAAATACTTAATTTAATAGACCTAAATAATAGCCTAAGTTTTAGTTAGTCAGCCACAAAGAGCCAGCAGACGCAAAAGTGTTCTTTAACCGCATCAAACAGAAGAGCGTTAGCCTCTGGCTGGAAATTTTTTTTTTCCCGTACGATACACCTGTTTCTCGGTTATAGCAGAAAGCGTGCATCGATTCTGAGATGTAGTATTCGATGCGTAAACCTTAAAAAAAAAAACAATAGCAATCGCATCATCAATTTGTTCTGTCATTGCAATAAAGCATTTATTCTACCGCCTTAGATCTAGAGTCTAATAGATATTGATCTAGATCACAAGCTAAGTTATTTCTAGATCTAGATCTAAGTCAATATAGAGCCAAATCACCCAGCCTAAAGTTTATACCACATGGTTTAAAACCTGGTAGATATATTACGACTATTAGTAATAATAAATAAATACGTTTATATTATTATAAATACTTATTATCAACATTAAATATTTATAACCGTGTTGACTTTTCTCTTGTTATTGTGTTTATTACACTGAAAACTATGTCGATCAATGCAGTCATGCCACATTGCTAATAATAGCCCAGGGCGACACTCGACCATGTTTAACTTTTAAGGTGATGACAAACTTGGGCTAACTGGGCCTTGCCGAAACTGTGTTGGGCGTGGCTGGATGTGTTGGCATACTTGATAGACGGAACTCAGTTTGGGGAGGTGCTATAAGGAAGAGGGGGAGTAAGAATTTAACGAGACGGAAGGAGATTCAAGTAACCTACATCAGAACGTTTAGGTGGCCTGTTGTTGTCAGTGGCGGATTAAGCTTAAGCGAAACCTCTTGATGAAACTTTTTAGGGTTTATCCATTATTTAGTCTCTCTGTATATACATCTATCTATCTATCTATCTATCTATCTATCTATCTATCTATCTATCTATCTATCTATCTATCTATCTATCTATCTATCTATCTATCTATCTATCTATCTATCTATCTATCTATCTATCTATCTATCTATCTATCTACCTACCTACCTACCTACCTACCTACCTACCTACCTACCTACCTACCTACCTACCTGTCTGTCTATCTATCTATCTATCTATCTATCTTTATATATATATATATAATTTATATATATATATATATATATATATATATATATGCCACCTAGATCTAGAAGTAGTAAAATAGGACGATTAGATTTACTAAAGTTAAAAGTAGTGAGAGGAATTAGAACAAATGTTTAAAACCTTAGTTAAGCGTCGGTTATTATTCCAGAATGGTATAGCAGTAAAAAACAGTAAAACAATGGCAAAGTCTGTCACACAGTTCCGGAATTCACCGGAAGTACAGTAAACTATACTTTATTTGGTGTCATCTTTTATTACTTTCTCGTATATACGAAGTATAGAGAAAGTCTTGTAATCGTTAAAAAAAATCGAGATTTTTACAAATCTCGACGTTTTACACCTCACTGATACGGAAAAACATAATTTTGCAATCTTGTCCGTATGTCTGTGTGTGTGTCTGTCTGTCTGTCTGTCCGTGTGTAAACACGATAACTTGAGTACCGTTACAGCTAGGTTGATGAAATTTCATATATAAGTATTTTATCAAAATCGTAGATCCTGATCAACTTTTGAGCGATTTCCGATAACCGGAAGTGGTACTTTTCCTACTTTGAATTTTTCAAAAGCCTATAACTTGAGTACTATTTCAGATAGATAAATGAAATTTCACATGTAAGTAAAAGATCTAATTCTCTACCTTCTGTTAAATTTTGAGTAATTTCCGTTGACTGGAAGTAGTAATTTACGCTACTTCCGATTTCTCAAAAAACTAATGTAAATTTTAAAAGTACTAATAATATTGCGCACTATTATGCGCTTTTTTATTTGGCGTTCACTTGGTGTGCAATTAATTTGTCTTCGAGATTTTACTCTATTTTTACAAGCTTTTATTTAACTCACTTCCTCTGTCTGTCTGTCGTCAGTCTAGATGGAAACGCAGGAGTGAAAATTCGGACAGTTCTACTTGACCGATACGATTCACAGTTGGCACGTGGGTCAAGACATGAAGAAAATGCAATCTGAAACTAAATTTGACTTAATTGGATGTCTAATTAATTTTTTATGAATTAATTAAAATTTGGACCGAATTAGTAGGCATGTCTAGCCAACCACACCACACGCGTCATCTCCTTCAATAGCTGCGCCATCACGTAATGGCTGCGTTCAAAAACCATTGCGCGCCTACTGAACGTGATGTTCAGTAGGCGCGCAATGGTTTTTTAGTCATGTAACTCTATTGTAAATAAAACATGTAAAGTACTGAAAAAAAAATTCATAAAAAACGTTTTAATAACAAGCTTTTATGTAATGATGCACTAAAAAGTAGAAAATAAATTATAGACTACTATTTAAATAACTATAAAGAAAAGCGTGGGTCACTTTAGTATCTATTGGATACCTTTACTAATGTTAAGGAAGACACCCATCTAGCCCTGGAATTTTCCAAGCTGTCATGGACAGTATTTTTAAGGATATTCCAAATGTTTGTGTTTACTTTGACAATGTGTACATAACTGGTAAGAATGACACTGAACATCTTAAAACACTTGATAAAGTCTTGAAAATAGTTGGTGAAAAAGGTTTAAAGATAAACAAAGATAAATGTCAATTCATGCTGACAGATATTAGTTTTCTTGGTTATATTTTAAGCAAGCAAGGCATCAGACCTCAACCTGAGAAAACAAAAGCCATTAAAGAAGCACCCAAACCTGAAAATACCCAACAGCTAAGAGCTTTTTTTGGGCTTGATAAATTACTATGCAAAGTTCATAGGGAATCTGTCTGGTAAACTATCACCACTGTACAAGCTGCTGCAGAAAAATGTAACTTGGCACTGGGGTATACAACAAGATGCTGCTTTTAATGCAGCAAAAGAAGCTTTGTCTTCTGACACCTTACTAACTCACTATGACCCAGGGAAAAGACTTATCTTAACATGTGATGCTTCACCAGATGGTGTAGGAGCAGTCTTATCCCACATAGATGAAAATGGCGACAGACCCATTGCTTTTGCCAGTAGATCTTTGAACCAGGCTGAGAAAAATTATTCTCAGTTAGATAGGGAAGGCTTAGGCATCATTTTTGGTGTTAAGAAATTTCACAAGTTTCTGTTTGGTAGATCATAAACCATTGCTGGGTTTATTTGGTGAAAACAAACCCCTGCCTGAGCATGCCTCACCAAGAATTCAAAGATGGGCTATCACACTAACTGCATACAATTATGAATTGAAATACAAACCTGGATCTGAGAATAGTGCAGATAGTCTTAGTCGATTACCTTTAAAAAACCAAAACCTTAGTTATGTACCAGAAGATGTATTTGTTCTTTTCACTATCATGGATAACCCCAATATAAATGTGAATGATGTTAAAAGAGAAACACAAAAAGATGAGTGCTTAATAAAAGTATATGAGTACTGTAAGAATGGTTGGCCTGAAGAGTCTGCGAATGATGACTTAAGGCCATATAAAATAAGAAAAACGGAATTAAGTCTAAAAGATGGAGAAGATGCAGTCCATTATCAGTCAGAGTTACCTAAACAAAGTATTTGTAACTTAATAAATGATTATGGTGATATGGCAATTTCAAATGCTTTAAAAGAGAATACATTAAATAAGAAGGAATGTGATCATCAAACAACTTTGCTAACATCATTAGCACTTACAGAAACTAAAAGGGTAACATCAAAAGAAAAAAGATTTTTGCCATTTAATACACCCACTTCAAATACTGGATCACAGTTGCAAATTGATATGGTCCAGGATATTACTTTTAAACAGTATTTTTGGTTACCAAAAAGCACTATCAGATTACCTGAGAAAATTGATCAATCAAAGAAATCTATGTCAGTTAAGGATCTGAATAATAGCATAATACTTTCAGATGCCAATTCAAAAATAGTTCCAGTAAATCATGACAAAACATCCATTGAAAGAGAATTTGGAGTTAATGAGAATGTGTATCTGAGAAATTATGGGAGAGGGGAAAAATGGATACCAGGTCAAATTGTTCAAGGTACAGGACCTGTGTCTTATAAAGTAAAAACAAATGATGGACATGCAGACCAGTTAAAAATAACTTGTGCAGATAATAAGTGTGAATCTGTCAATCCCACCAAATCTGAACAGTTCACACCAACTCAGTTTGTTCCACAACCAAGTTCTGTTGATATGAGTGAACCAAGTACTCTAGAGTCAGAAAATGTAAATTCTGGAACTAATGAGTTAGATCCTAGACTTCCTGAGATAGAGAATCCAGATGGTCAGAATCTTGAGTCACCAAATCAAAAGCCACTGAGAAGGTCAAACAGGACAATCAAAGTCCCAAATAAGTTAGACCTATGATTTTAAAGGTCAAAAGGACTTTGACATCATTGTTTTGTATCTTAATTATTTTGTAGCCTAGTAGCATATTGTGCATTGTTTGTAAGGGTGTAATGTACCATAATGTTCATGTTGCAATATATTGGTGATTTTAGGATACTATCATTTGTTCTAGTGATAGATGTGTTGTTGTTTACTAAGGGTAAAGGGATGTAATATATTGAGAATTGTGAAGTCAAGGGAACTCACTCTTCTTGTATTCGTATTATATTTATAATGTTATCTTGAGTGATGTCCCTTATATATATATATATATATATATATATATATATATATATATATATATATATATATATATATATATATATATATATATATATATATATATATATATGTGTGTTTATGTCTCGTCACTTCCTCTTCCTGTTTCCATCATGGTGGCTGAGGCTGAATAAAGTTCTATATACAAACAGCATGGTTTCTGTCGTCTGTGTTTCAATCTACCTCACAACTATTGTATTCTTTTTACAAAACAATCAAGTAAAAAAATGCACGAATTTTTTATACTAAAAAATTAAACGTCCTCCCCCTCCCCACCGCGTTGCGGGATGTGGTGGTATGGTAGTTCTACCCCTGGCTATGGCTGAGCTAGAAACAAGCCCCCCCCCCCCCCACCCGTACAAATCTTTTTCGGGCCCCCTATATAATTATAAATATACATACTAGTGTGCCCGTCCACGCTCGTTTCCGTAGGTTAGAAGAAAGTCTGGCGTAATATTTTAAGAGGGTTCATCAATGGGTTTCCAATCCTATAATCTTAGACATGTGACCTTGTTTTCTAAAACTGAGGTTATTTAAATGTAAACAATGCCCGCGCTATATTTCTTTGATCCTATTTGTTGGGGCACGGCTATACCTACGCTACCGCCCAGTAAGCCCCAGGGAGTGGTGTATGAAAGCCTTGAGTGTACGTTAATCACTCACCGCAATAGTGAGGTAGAGAACACTTCGGCAAGCGATCCGGTGTCAAAGACGTTAGCGAAGTGTTCTCGGGAGACCCCGGTTACACTGCCGTAGGGACGCCGCTTACGGCCCATGGCTCGCTTTAATCATCGGATGTCACGTGTCACTAATGTAGGGTGCTCATTAAAACAAACATAGGCACCATAATGCTCACGAAAAACACAGGGAGCCAAATAGCATACCGCGGAGCCGGAGGACGCACCAGATTCGATTTAGTGAGCGACTTTAGCAACCCATTGCATCCATACTTTATGGCACTCTTTAAAACGAACATAAGCACCATAGCACTCACGGATGAGTTCCGGGCGACAAATCACCTCTAATTCTTTAGTATACGATATTTAACTTATGTTTAAAAGATTGTAATATAACACTACGGGGGATGGCAACTTGGGATATAGACAACATTTTAAATCCATTTTAAATTACTTAAACTTTTAAAAATAGAACAGAATCTCGTAGAAAAAAGAATTACACACCAAGTGAACGCCAAATAAAATGTGTATAATAGTGCTTAATATTATTAATACTTTATAAGTTCACATGCGTTTTTTGAGAAATCGGAAATAGCCTAAATTACTACTTCCGGTCAACGGAAGTTACTTAAAATTAGAGAATTAGGCAGAGAATTAGATCGTGTACTTATATTTGAAATTTCATTTATCTATCTGAAATAGTACTCAAGTTATAGGCTTTAGAAAATTGAAAGTAGAAAAAGTTCCACTTCCGGTTATCTGAAATCGCTGAAAAAGTGATACCTATCTACAAATTTGATATAATACTTATATATGAAATTTCATCATCCTAGCTGTAACGGTACTCAAGTTATCGTGTTTACAGACACACGCATACACACAGACATACGGACAAGATTGCAAAACTTTGTTTTTCCGACTCAGAGAGGTGTAAAACTGTCGAGATTTGTTGAAATCTCGAATTATTATTTTTTTGCACGACTACAATACTTTCTCTATACTTTGTATAAAACAGGAACGTAAAAAAAAGAAACAACTTATTGTTATGGAAACGACGAACAGAGAACGATTACTTCGCAAACTTGCCTCTGCTAGACGACTGTGTAAACGTCTTCTTCTTCTTCGTTCTTAATTAAGTATATGATGGAGGATTTAAACAACAAGCCCAACTTCGAGTATGAACTGGACTGTGGTCCCCAGATCAGCGGGTGCCCCATTTAGTTTTTCCTTGAGTGGGGTGTGTAGGGGCCAGTGTTTTGGATCGCGACTGGCTATATAATGAACATTTCTTAAAGGACGTGCTCCGTATTCTCCGGGGCCTTGGCCATAAGTGAACTAGATTTTGTGTTGTTTGCAGTGTTTCTTCCACACTTTTTTCTCCGGGGGGGGGGGGGGGCACTTGAAATTTTCGGGGGGGGGGGCGGTAGACTTTCTTCGGGGGGGGGGGGGGGGTGCGGACACTGTTAAAAGTATATATTTTCTATATAAATTATATAAATTTCATTTCGTTCGGGGGGGGGGGGGGGCGGTAGATTTTTTTCGGGGGGAGGGCTCCCCCCCCCCCCCGAAGAGATGCCTGGTTGTTTGTATTTAGCGAGAATGAAGTTCTTAGTATTCATGGGATTCAAAAAGTTATGCACGATGGATGTTTATATTAACCAGAAAGTTTTAGCAGAAGGTGTGATCAGTTATGATTGTTACAAGGATTGAGGAAATAGGATCTCTGCATGTCAAGCAAAGATCAAAGTTAAAAACAATCGAAGATCGAAGATGTATCTGGAATTGGAGACATTTCTGTACCCATGGAACAGATGTAAGCAATGGCCTACACTTATTTTAGCTTTCAATGTATCTCGACTGTTACTTCCCTACATGAGAGTCATAACCAGATTCTAGAATGGGTAGGACAGCCGTTCACGTTTTGTGTTCAGACAACATGGGTTAGGGTTAGGTTTCATACATCTTGTTACCAGTGGCGTAACTACAGGAAAGCTAGCGTAAGCAACGCCTAGAGGCCCAAGGAAAATATGGACCCTTTTCCCTCTCAAAAAAAAAAATAAAAAAAATAAATCTATATGGGAATTTCAATATTTCTTTTATTTAAAAAAATGTAAATCCCGTTTCTTTTCAACTGAGGAAATAATCAAAATTTCCAAAAAAAAAGCCCTCCCCCCCCCCAGGCCCAGCCCTTTGTTACTGTACAGGCAAATAGCATTCAGTGGGGGAGGGGAGGGTCGTACAGGGCTCATATGAAAGTGAAAGGCAACAGCACAAAAACACTGATTCGCAGTTAATATTCATTATTATGTTTTTGTTCTGTGTGAAAATAACATTTCAATGGTTTTGTTCTTAGAACTCAGTGATGTTGATGCATGGTTCATTTTGTACAACGGTAAATATATAGGCCCTACCTAGATTCTAGATATATTTTTAATTTAAAAAAAAATCATATTTTTCATTAAGAAGGGTCCGGTGAATGTGCATATGAAGCTGGTGGTGGATCGGTACCTTCAAAAAAGTTAAGAACCACTTAGGCCTACTAGACTCTAGATCTAAATACAGAACACGTTAATTTTTGTTCTATTCTTTACGGTGTTTATTTGGCCTATACACCGCAAGTCTATTTACGACTTGACTTCGAGTCCACTTTCGGCCAACTATTGCACCATTTCAATAGGCCTAGCATGTAACAGTAATTCTTGTATGCTGTATGTTCATTGTTCTTAAGCAGACGCCGTCTATTAAATAATTTAAAGGCACAGTAACAGGATTTACAACATAGATTCTGTTTTTAAAATCGTTTAAATTTAGATAACGTTAACTTTTAGTAATTAAAGATTAAAAATGGCAGAGTCAGACTGGAGTGAGGTCACCTACATTGGTCACAGACCCGGAAAGGCAGGACAGTTGAGGTCCAAACAGGTAGAATTTAGAGGATCTAGATCTAGTAGTTTTCATTAGTTGCTTCACACCTTTATCTTAAAATAGCATTGAAGGTCTAGTCTGTTTTTGATGAGAGGCTGCCGATCACTAATGAACAGTGTATGGCATATGCGTTAGATTAGGCTTTTTGATGAGAATTACAGAATGATTTTTTTATTAAAAATGTATCAATAATAGCTTGCACACTAGTAAACTAAACCAATTTAGCATATTTTAACTTTCTGTGCAAAGTCATTATTACTGAAAAAAATTCCAAAGTCAGGTCAGCCTGTGGCACCCTCCACTGAACATGACAGAAGGAAAAAAAAACTTGACCCGTGACCTTCATTAAAACAGAATTTGCTTTTGTTTTCTTTTCATTTTTAGTAAATATGTGCTTAATCTTACCCAATAAGTGATAAAAATTTGAAAATTCATTTTAATTAGGCCCTACTGTTGTAAAGTGAGATAAACAGCTTAATAAACACGTGTTTTCTTGAGGGGGTGTGGCACATCCCGACATCGCATTGTTTGTAACTTTATATTTGTGTTTTATGACTATATTTGTTCACAATCAGCATGGTATGCTTTTAATTTTGATAAAGGGTAAGTATACCAAGTTACAAAACCTGAAATCTAACTAATAATTCATACTTTCAGTTTAAAAAAAATAATGAAAACGATCATCAATGAAGAAAGCGTAAACATTCTATTTTTAGGTGTGACATAAAAAACAGTCATAAATCTAGCCGAATGATTGGATTCTTGCGCGTCACACATTTTCCCGCGCTTCGTGTTCACCAAAAAAGATTATAATAAAATGGCATTATTATTTTTACAGAGCATATCTCATGCCTACCATAAATTATTACCAGTTTATTGTAACGTGTGTAAAATTAATGCTTTCAAGTAAAAAATAGCAATAGTCTGGTTAAAAATACCTGCGGTATTTTATAGTTATTTGATTCGAAAGATAAGAATTATATAGAGCTACTTTCACTAAGGCGCCGCTTGCGAGACAAACATAGAAATTAGGCCAAAAGTAGATCCGACAATTCTTAAATAACAGACTTAAATAGAAACGGATAGTTCCGATTTCTTAAATTAACGATGGCTTCGTAATCATTAGTTTTATCGCTCTACCCATTAGTGAAAGCGAAACTCGTCGCCATTTTTGGTAAGCGCATGAGCCGTGAGATGGCTTCAGAACAACAAACCCGGAAGCTGTGAATTCGAACGGCCTACGTTAGATTCACAACTTCTGGGTTTGTTGTTTTGAAGCCATCTCCACAGCTCATGATTACAAACTATGGCTTACTATGGTAATCTATCGGTTTGGGTACGTAAAATCGCCCGCGACTTGTAATGTGAAATACAGGTGACTCCTTAAATTTTAATTATTATTTCACATGTTGATGAGGATTTATGTTTTAAAAAATTAAAAAATGTTTCGATGTTTCATTTATGTACCTGTTTTTAAACAATTGAATTGAAACTTTTCAGTAATAAATGAAGACTAGCGATGTTTCCAACAAATGCAACCATGCTCATTTACTATTGCAGCCATCTTGTTTAAGTTTTATTTTTATAAACTTATAGTGCGAGATTCAGGGGGAAGCCACTCTATTTTACAAATGGCTGCTGTTTATATAGCAAATATTGCTTGCAGACACTGCTGTTTAAAGTTAATTTCTGGCCTATATTGATATATTTAGCCATTGATTTAGGTTTATTAATAATTTATCTATAATATTTGACACAAACATATCACAATAAACTTCTATTAAAGCCTTGACAATGAGGTAACGTTTTCATACATTAATAGCGGCGGGCGATTTTACGTACCCAAAATGATAGATTACCCAAACTACAAAGCCATCGTTAATTTTAGAAATCTGAACTATCCGTTTCTATTTTAGTCTGTTATTTAAGAATTGTCTGATCTACTTTTGGCCTAATTTCTTAGTTTGTCTCGCAAGCGGCGCCTTAGTGAAAGTAGCTCTATATAATTCTTATCTTTCGAATCAAATAACTCTAAAATACCCCATGTATAATAAACCAGTCTATGTGTAGGCCTATATGAAACTTGAAAGTATAAATTTAAGTAGGCCTAATTTACACACATTACAATTAACTGGCAATAGCTTATGGTCGGTATGAGATGTGGTCCGTCCAAATAATAATGCCATTTTATTATAATCTTTTTTTGGTGAACACGAGGCGCGGGAAAATGTGTGCAGCGCAAGAATCCAATCATTTGGCTAGGTTTATGACAGTTTTTTTTATGTCACACCTAAAAATAGAATGTTTACGCTTTCTTCATTGATGATCGTTTTTATTATTTTTTAAACTGAAAGTATGAATTATTAGTTAGATTTCAGGTTTTGTAACTTGGTATACTTACCCTTTATCAATTTTAAAAGCATAGCATGCTGATTGTGAACAAATACAGTCATAAAACACAGAAATAAAAAGTTACAATGCGATGCCACACCCAGGTCACACCCCCTCAAGAAAACACGTGTTTATTAAGCTGTTTATCTCACTTTACAACAGTAATTAAAATTGTCAAATTTTTATTACTTAGGCCTATTGGGTAATATTAAGCACATGTTTACTACAAATAAAATAAAAAACGAAAGTAAATTCTGTTTTAATGAAGGTGACAGGTCAGTATTTTTTCCTTCAATCAAGTTCAGTGGAGGGTGCCACAGGCTGTCCTGATTTTGGAATTTTTTCAGTAATAATGACTTTGAACAGAAAGTTAAAATATGCTAAATTGGTTTAGTTTACTAGTGTGCTAGCTATTTTTGATCCATTTTTTAATTTATAAATCATTATGAAATTTTCATCAAAATGCCTATGAACAGACATGGGGGGTAAAACTTCATTTGCCATTTATTTAATCTAGAAATCTAGATAGCAATAATTATAAACCTAGAGGGCATGGTTCGTTACTACCAACAATATGGCGTCCTCATCGGACGCACATGTTCAAATATTTTCTTATTTAGTTGACTTGACTTTCCTGGAATTAGTTTTAAAAATGATTACCACGTTTAAAATGACGGTTTTCCACGTGATATAAACAAACTGTAAATGGCAGTGTTATAGGCTATATGCCAGAGAAACGATATAAATAGCTTTGGATAACGAAGACTGAATTTCAAAAGGTGTTGCTGATAAAGATCTTTTAAAATATCAGCTGCAACGATATAGAATGGTGGGTGACTAGTTCAATATTTGAGTTAGCAGTAAGTGAAGAAATAAATTGAATATTACATGCTTTTTTTAACAAAAAAAAAATCACGACCAAAAGTCAAATTCTATAATCCCTTTACTCATTACTGCTATTGTGCAGGAGACGTTCGCCTAGCTTGTTGGCTCTATCCAACTCTTTTGACACTTTACGTTTGTGTTATTTATGTTGGTGAGCATTACATGAATATTTTGATTTTTACATTACCTACTGGACAAATTAATTAAGGATTTCAATCTGAACATAGGAAGATAGGAATTAGTTGATATTTCTGTTAAGGCCCGTAAAACATGTTTTTTTTAAAAAAATTTGGCTCACAATATTTATTGGTGTTGGTAAATTGTGAGATGTGAAACATCTTATGGCAAGGCAGTAAACTGTGAGGAGAAAATGCGAGACTTACCTACAGGATTTCGGATAATTTTGCGAGAAACAATTAGCTAGACATTTTTTTCTTACATGGTTTTTCGTAATCTGTTTTTTCTCCAGATGTGTGCAAAAAAAAGTTAAAAACTAAACAAGTAGAGCTCAAAGTAGAATTTAAAAAAACTAAAGTTTATGGCACTAGAACTAGAAGACATTTGCATCACATTCAAAATGTAGATTAACCCCATTTTCTCAACTGAAAACTTATTTTTACATCTCAACATAGTGAGGTCTAAAAATCCATGAAATTCACAATATCAACAACATAATTACACAGAAGTTTCATTAAAGCGTATAGGCCTAGTTATTTATACTTATGTCAAACTTTACAAAATATACCAGTTTATAGCTTATTTCTATAATTATTCTTGAAAAACAAATGGCTGTCCTACCCTTTAAAATTTTTTCACAATTTCAGGCTTTTAGAAACACTGGGGCTGAAAAATGTAACAGTTAAATATATATAAAACATTAGTAAAAAATATGTCTATAAGCCGATTTTTGTTAAAGTTGCAGCATTTACATGGCTAATTATAATTGTTTAGTAATCAAAAGTTACAACTGTCCATCGCCTAATTCAGATAGTGAAGTGTAGGTGAACCGGGTGTTAGGGCCTAATAAGATTTTATTATAATTGATAATGAACAGAATGTATAATTAAAACTGGTCCATAAACCAATTTTATTGATAGATGCAGTTGTTATAAAGCTACTTAAAATAGATCAAATGATGCTAGATCTATAATGAAATTGAAATGAGTATGACCAAACTAAAGTTATGGAAATTTTATTAGGTTTTTATTTGTATTTTAAAAATGAAACCCATACATAAACTATAAACCTACATTCGCCCTATTTTCAGCTCCCTAACCCTATTCTGACTCCTAACCTATCCTTTTTCCAGTACTTACTTAATCTTAACCATAATCTGTCTTTATCCATCTTTAAATGACCCCTGAGTTGGGGTGGAGGAGGGGGGGGTTGTCTTATTTAGTTTTTTGGGTGGGGACAATTAATGATCAATCAATCAAGACCAGGATCCCTTGATTCAGTTTTTTGTTTTCATTTTCTCCCAGGCTGTTAACTCAGCCTTAAGAACTGGAGCTGATGTAGAAACCAGCAAAAAATGTAAGTCCTAATACTGTTTTTTGGACTACTATTTGCTTATTTCTTTACTTTGTTGGACATTGTTGCAGCCTAGATTTTTAGAGTTTTTACCAGTTATTTGAACCCTAAGGGTTTTGGTACCATTATCGGGAAAGCTATCTAAATGTTGGGTAGTAAATTATCCCATTTTTTAATTTTAACTTCATGAATAAAATAACTTTATATGGTTTGTTGCACACATTATTTTTTTATAGTTGCGGGTGGCCAAAACAAACAGATTTTAGCCAATAAGAACACAGCAAAACTAGATAGGGAAACTGAAGAGCTTCACCATGAGCATGTGCCATTAGATGTGGCTAAACTTATCCAGCAAGGTCGACAGGCTAAGGGCTGGACACAGAAGGAACTCGCCACTGTAAGCTACCGCTGATTTTGCTTCACTTTGAGATTCTGATGTTAAAATGGACAGGCAGTGGTAAATTATTTTTTCTTTTACAGAAAATCAATGAAAAACAACAGGTTGTGAATGATTATGAGGGCGGAAAAGCCATACCTAATCAAATGGTATTTGGAAAATTGGAAAGAGTTCTTGGTAATTACATTTTTTCTAGTATTGTTTTCAAAACCTTAGTTTTTATGTATGGGGACATTTGTATTTCATATATCATTGATTTTGTGTGAATTTTGTGTTGATCTAGCTTTTTTCTCTTTAACAATTTGTGCTTTTTGTTGACAGGAATGAAACTTCGTGGAAAAGACAAAGGGCAGCCACTGGTAAAAAAATGATTGTTTGGAGAGTTACTTTTGGCCGCCACCCTCACTTTACACAATTTGATTGTCAGAAAATCAGCACCACTCACATTGAGGGCATGGCCTCCTTGACAATTGAGCACAATTGCTGCAATATCTACTCTACAGTTTTGCATTATTCTTTATATAGAAAAATGACAGATTTTGTAATTCTTACTTCTGTTATTAATTCTTCAGATTGCTAGTTGTTTTGTTGGAAGGTTTAGTTTAATCTCCATTTGAAAAGTCTGCTTATTGTTCTGACTAGAGATAATATGTAGAGCTCTGAACTCACTGAGTTGTTTGAACAATTCAAGCTATGGCCAGGCTGCTGCTTTCTTGCTGGTGTCTTCCATTGAGCCAGTCTTCATAATCTCATGCCTTTTTAATTAGATGAAACATTAATAGGTTTTTAAAATTTCAACCTCTTGATTATATTTCTTTTAATTTATCAATGTTACATTTGTTTCAAACTAGCTATAAAGATGGGGCCACACATGCTATTTAACAACACAAGATGGAGCCACACATGCTATTTAACAACACAAGATGGAGCCACACATGCTATTTAACAACACAAGATGGAGGTATTTTCACCACCAGATGGAACTTCTTTTATCATGTCAAGTTTGGTCACTTGTAACATTATCATAAGAACCATATTGGTGCCTTTTTGTTATACAGAAACTGCACTATGGAATAAATGTTTGTGTTATAGATCTAGTGAGATTCAGTTGAAATGACCATGTCTTTTTGAATCATGAGAATTTTTAAACAATAGCAGTCAACTTTTATGGTTCAATGTTTGCTGATGTGGTCCATGTCTTTGAAAGCAGCAGCCAAAGTTTTGATATTCATTGTTGGAATTATTTGATATAAGACTGGTATTGGACCCTTCAACATTGTTCATATTACTTTTAATCTTAATCATTGCACTTTGATCATCATTAATCTCAGACTCAAGTCTGGGTTTTGTGTTTTTACTCATGGGATGTTTCCAGTTGATTCTGTGAATTAAACTACATTAAATCATTTTTGTCATTTTTCTTAATTTAAAATACATTTAGACAAGCTGAGATCAAAAGAAATTATTTGTCAATAAACAAGTTTATTGTTAATATATGAAAATTAGAATTGTTGCAGGGTAAAAACCCATATTTCAGTGGTATAAATCCAGACATGAATGCTCTTTTGGTGGGATTCCCCATTAACATTCTCCTTAAAGTCCACAAATAACATTGTTGAAAGACTGTCTTAAAACACTGTGTACAGGTACTGGTTCTATTGGAAGCTTAAAAATTGAGGCCACCTGTGAACAAGAAAATAACCAATCAGGACAGTTTAACTAAAGAACTGTACCAAATGCAGAGTTTAAAACTCAACCCATCATCACCTGTTACTTCTATTGCTGTTCCAGTTATGTAGCTGCTACGAGCTGACAATAAAAAGGCACACACTTCAGCAATTTCTGGGGGGGAAAAAATCTATTAGTATTATGGTTGGCTAATTTTTAATATTCTCTGATGTGTAAAATGTCTTTCTTTTATATTTAATAACTTAGCTTAGCGAATCATGTTTAAAAAAATAAATAGGAAAGCTAACCAATGAATTGGAGTATATGGAAATCAGATCTAATGAATGCATACCTTTAATATATGACTAAACTGTCGTAATGTTGGACTATCACAAATGCGATAGAAAAGTGCTTATGACAAGACATTGATAAGAATCTTCTGGCCAATTGGAACAATTAAAAATAAAACTTGTTCAATAGATGGAGGTGGGTGGGCCATGTGTAAGTAAAATGAGAGCAGATGTGCGGTCTATATCTGCTCTTAGCTGGACACCAGAGGGCTAGGGCGGCCAAAAGAAACAGAAGATCAATGGAGAAATAGAAGGAGAGGCATAACATTCCATTAGAGAGAGGTTGTAGCTAGAGACAAGATTATAAGATAAAAAGGTGATGACTTTGGTGCCAATGTGCATTATGATGATTAATCATGTTATTGAAGTTTAGTTTCCACCAGTGGCATCGCTAGGTCTGGTGTCACCCGGTGCGGCACCTAATGGTGTCACACCCACCCCCCCTGAAAGAATTATATATATATATATACATAAAAACTTTTAAGTAAGTGTATATGTATTTAAATATATCTTTTAATGTATTTAAATGTTTTTGAAGCTATGCATTTTTGGGCTTCTTTTTTTTAATGTTTTATAGGAAAATGAGTAACATAGCGACCAATTACTTTTTACAATATTTATGTCCGATAGAAGTTCTTTACCTCTAATAGGTATACTAAATTTGTAATTAAATTATTATAATTTTACATATTCCATTGCATAATATACGAAATTTCAAGACTAACTTGATTTAAGAAGTAAATTAATTGTTTCTAAATGTTTGGCAACTTTTTTCATGGCTGACGAAACCATCAAAATGTGTCAATGTTGCAAGTCAACTAGTTCTATTAATCCGTTTCTCACTTATTATGTAGATTTGTTTCTCGCTTATTATGTAGATTTGTTTCTCGCTTATTATGTAGATTTGTAAATTTCCAATGCGGTTTCCATTTCGCTGGACAGTTATTTGGTGTCACCCCTACCTTTTTGTAGAGTAGCGTCACCGTATATTAATCCACCTAGAATAAGCATTGAGGGGACAAATTCTAACGGTTATTAATTCAAGTGGAAACATCATTGCTTTAGTAGAAAATTGTTAAACATATCAGTTATTACAATTCTCATCAAAAGCTTTTTCCTCAGGCAAATGTTACGTTTAGTTGGCGTCACCCCCCCCCTCCCCTTGATAGCTTTAAACTGTGCACAGATAATACTAACAATGTTTATCTTTAGTAGGTTATTAATACGGCTGGATGTGGCATTGTTTTCTCTATCTATAGCAGATTTATGTCATGGATGTGGCATTGTTTTCTCTATCTATAGCAGATTTATGTCATGGATGTGGCATTGTTTTCTCTATCTATAGCAGATTTATGTCATGGTATCACCCACCCACCAACTTGTCGGGATTTGTCAACTTGACTCTTAGAAGACTATTTAAGTTAATTTAACTATAAATAATTATTCATTTAACTGGTACGATTTTTGTTTTTCTCTATATATTTTGCCATGGTGTCACCCAGTGCGCCCCCCCCCCCCCCCCGCACCCCCTCGCGACGCCTCTGGTTTCCACATCATCAAAGAAGACACATGTAGCTTTGTAAAATTAGCCAATCTTGTTGCTACTAAATTATAGAAATACTTATCAACCTTCAGGGGTTCCTGTTCTTTTTAGAGGTATCATAGCCTTGATCATCATTAAAACATTTTCAGGCACTTTATCAGTCATTGGAGTGTCAATAAATCCTGGCAGGATGGCATTCACTCGAATATTGTACCTAAACATCAATAGGACAGTTACATTTTCTCTTGAATAGTGTACCTAAACATAAATAGGACAGTTACATTTTCTCTTGAATAGTGTACCTAAACATAAATAGGACAGTTACATTTTCTCTTGAATATTGTACCTAAACATCAATAGGACAATTACATTTTCTCTTGAATAGTGTACCTAAACATCAATAGGACAGTTAAATTTTCTCTTGAATAGTGTACCTAAACATAAATAGGACAGTTACATTTTCTCTTGAATATTGTACCTAAACATCAATAGGACAATTACATTTTCTCTTGAATAGTGTACCTAAACATCAATAGGACAGTTAAATTTTCTCTTGAATAGTGTACCTAAACATAAATAGGACAGTTACATTTTCTCTTGAATAGTGTACCTAAGCATCAATTTTATTTGTGTTGTAGTTTATAATGAAAAAAAAAAAGTTTCACAGACAGCCATTTCATACCTGGCCAACTCTTTAGCAGCAGATTTAGTGAAGCCAATGACCCCTGCTTTAGACGCAGCGTAGTTTGTCTGTCCAATGTTACCATTCTGGACAAAATAAAAGTAGAATGACCTAAACTTTATTAAGTAACACACATAACTCTAAGCATATATACATACATATATATTTACATACAAACATATATTGTATTTATATGAGTATGTATACATGTGTAAATTATGTGTGTATGTATAGGCCTATATATGTATTGATATCCAGTGGTCACCGCCATGTGTCAGGGGCGCTCATGGGAGCCCCCAAATACACTACCGCAGGTGCGCCACGTACGGCCCCGCCCCTGGCTCCTTAAAACTAACGTATGTGCCATAGGATAACCCGGGCGCCAGCGGACGTGCCTGATTCAATTAATCGAACGACTATAATGCCCCATTTTAACCATAGTCTATAGCACTGCTTAAAACATAGGCGCCATGGCGCTCATGGGAATGCATGGGGCGTCAAATCGCACACTGCCGGGGTCACCTATGCGAGATTGAGCTTTTTTCCCACAGAAACCTTGGGAATACTCTCAAAAACTCTCAAACTTTCATGGCACTCGGATGAACTGTATCGAACCACATCAGACTTTTTTTATATACCGTTTATAGAGAAAGCTGCACCCTTCCTGGACGGCACCATTGCGAAATTAATAAAAAAAGATTTTTTTGCAGAAACCTCTTCGGGAGTGTTTTAATCAATTCCCTCAAGTTTCATGATGATTGGATGGAAGGTGTCAAACTGCAATAGGATTTTAATTTTTTTACCCCATATATATAGTAGAATCAAATCGCGCCCTGTCTATTTGGAAATTTTTTTTTAGCAGAAACCTTTCTAGGAGTATTTCAACAACAACCCAAAGCTTCATACCGATCGGATGAAAGGTGCAGTAATGAATAAAAGACAGACACACATACATTTATATACATATATATAAAGATAGATAGATTGTTGTTCCTTAGCCCAGTGGTGTAGCCAGGATCGTCTCAAAGGGGGGGGGGGGGGGGGGTGTTCAAATTATATATATATATATATGACAGTAACAATTTTTTTACAGAGTGGTCTATGGGGTTGAACATCCCCCTCCCCTACGCCACGGCTTTAGCCTGGCATAAATGCACTAGCTCTATAAGTACCATGCAACCGAATATGGCATCACTTAAGGAAGGAGGAACAGAAACACTACCTTGCTGCAGCTTATATTATAGATGTGTATACATATAAATTTAAAAAAAATATATATGTGTATATATATGTGTGTATATATATATATATATATATATATATATATATATATATATATACAGGCCTATATATATATATATATATATATATATATATAGGCCTATATATATATATATATATATATATATATATATATAGGCCTATATATATATATATATATATATATATATATATATATATATATATATATATATATATAGGCCTATATATATATATATATATATATATATATATATATATATAGGCCTATATATATATATATATATATATATATATATATATATATATAGGCCTATATATATATATATATATATATATATATATATATATATATATAGGCCTATATATATATATATATATATATATATATATAGGCCTATATATATATATATATATATATATATATATATATATATATATATATATATATATATATATATATATATATATATAGGCCTATATATATAATACTTTAAATGAAGTACCTTCAATATCTTACCTTCCCAACTATACTTGATATATTGACTATTGCTCCATCCTCAACTTTTGCTCTATGCATTGCTCTACTAATTGCTTGATTAATCAAAAATGTACCCTGAAGAAAACAATAAAATGGCATTACAACAATGTATAAAGGAGCTAAATAAAAAAAATGCAAAAGTCAGGTCAAACATTACTCACACTCACACTGCACAAGTTAGGGCAGTTAATTTGTTGGGAATTTTAAAAAAAAAGGAAACAGATTGTTACCTGTACATAAATCCTTTTAATATAAAGGAAAACGTAGGTCTCGTCCAAAATATTAGTAAGGGTATCCAAAACATAATATATCAACTCACGCTTTTCTTTATAGTTATAGTTATTTAAATAGAAAAACATGGGTAACTATATAATATAAAGGATAACTTAACTAAAATTTATGTAGGGACCAACATTTTTCTTTATAGTTATTTAAATAGTAGTGTATTATAATATTATTAATATTATTATATGAGATAAATGGCCCGTTGAGGGAGAAATACAACAAAATCACCACCTCAACTTCAAATTTAACTGGAAATGAAAAATGTCATTGAAAACAGATTTTTATCCATAATCGGCATTTTAACCAGATTTAACCTTAATCTGCACATAGTTATTGCACATCCATATTAAATATAGTTTTAGTCATACCCCTAAAACTTGAATCTAAGCTCAAACTTGACAAAAGACGCATTTAGAGTTTCTTTCAGACAACTCGGGTGGGGTGGGGGGGGGGGGGGGTAGGATGGGAAGGGGTGGACAGAGCCCGTGAAGAAAGTCTACCACCCCCTACAACGACTTAAAACTCATATAGAAAATATACTATTACCAGTGTCCACCCCCTTTTCCCAGGATAAAAAAAAGTCTGAAAGAAACACTTGTTGCATTTGTAGCTGATATTTGAAATTTTTGCAGGTGCGAATAAAATTCTTCAGTGGAAGGGTGCCGGCACTGGTAAAAGTACATATTTTCTATATAAATTCTATTTTATTGGGGAGGGGGGGGGGGGGGGGGAAATTAGATATTTTACCAGGAGGGGGGGGGGGAGGTTTGCCCCAACCCAAAGAGGTGACTGAAAGAAACTCTGCACGCAAACCACTTTTAAGATTAGACAAATGAATTAGGCGGTAATGTCAATGTCTTTTTTATCGAGTATCAATGACGTCATTATTATTGTGTATTTTTTCTACATTGGCTTTTTAATTCTATGTTTACTCTAGAATCAATTATGTCATATTATTGTGTGTACTTTTCACGCTTTAGAATATTTCCTATATGTTCCATGTGACACCACGTTTTGTTTTTCGTTTGACTGTGTGAAACTATTATTATAGATATTTAAAGAAATATTCATTTTTTCCTTTTTATGGCATTCCAGTGTTAGAGCCTTGACGTGGCTTGGCAGCTTGTGTATCTATGACAGTGGCCAAACTAGGTTGGTCACGGGAGAGACTGTCATCTACTCAGGCCACGAGGATAAAAATCATGAACACACGCAAGGTGTAGCCATAATGATGTCTCCAGAAGCAACAAATGCTTTGATTGCATGGGAGCCAGACTCATAGCAGCTCGTTTCAATGCCAAGGGAAGGAAAACAACTTTAATCCAGTGCTATGCACCCACAAATGCTGCAACAGATGAAGAGAAAGAGGACTTCTACAGCGCCCTGCAGGCTCAAATTGACAAATCACCAAAAAGAGATATAAAGATAGTAAACGGGAGACATGAATGCCAAAGTTGGAACAGAAAATAAAGATCAGGAGCTCATAATGGGGAAAAATTGAGCAGGCGTAATAAATGAAAATGGAGAGCATTTAATGATCTAATTATAAGGGGATACAATTTTCTCCCATAAAGATATACATAAAACCACCTGGACATTACCCGATGGCAAAACAAAGAACCAAAGGACCACATCACTGTATCCAGAAAGTGGAGGACCAAAGGACCACATCACTGTATCCAGAAAGTGGAGGACCACGTCACTGTATCCAGAAAGTGGAGGACCACATCACTGTATCTAGAAAGTGGAGGACCAAAGGACCACATCACTGTATCCAGAAAGTGGAGGACCACATCACTGTATCCAGAAAGTGGAGGAACACATCACTGTATCCAGAAAGTGGAGGACCAAAGGACCACATCACTGTATCCAGAAAGTGGAGGACCACATCACTGTATCCAGAAAGTGGAGGAACACATCACTGTATCCAGAAAGTGGAGGACCACATCACTGTATCCAGAAAGTGGAGGACCAAAGGACCACGTCACTGTATCCAGAAAGTGGAGGACCACATCACTGTATCCAGAAAGTGGAGGAACACATCACTGTATCCAGAAAGTGGAGGACCACATCACTGTATCCAGAAAGTGGAGGAACACATCACTGTATCCAGAAAGTGGAGGACCACATCACTGTATCCAGAAAGTGGAGGAACACATCACTGTATCCAGAAAGTGGAGGACCACATCACTGTATCCAGAAAGTGGAGGACCAAAGGACCACGTCACTGTATCCAGAAAGTGGAGGACCACATCACTGTATCCAGAAAGTGGAGGAACACATCACTGTATCCAGAAAGTGGAGGAACACATCACTGTATCCAGAAAGTGGAGGACCAAAGGACCACATCACTGTATCCAGAAAGTGGAGGACCACATCACTGTATCCAGAAAGTGGAGGACCACATCACTGTATCCAGAAAGTGGAGGACCACATCACTGTATCCAGAAAGTGGAGGAACACATCACTGTATCCAGAAAGTGGAGGACCAAAGGACCACATCACTGTATCCAGAAAGTGGAGGACCACATCACTGTATCCAGAAAGTGGAGGACCACATCACTGTATCCAGAAAGTGGAGGACCACATCACTGTATCCAGAAAGTGGAGGACCACATCACTGTATCCAGAAAGTGGAGGACCACATCACTGTATCTAGAAAGTGGAGGACCAAAGGACCACATCACTGTATCCAGAAAGTGGAGGACCACATCACTGTATCTAGAAAGTGGAGGAACACATCACTGTATCCAGAAAGTGGAGGACCAAAGGACCACATCACTGTATCCAGAAAGTGGAGGACCACATCACTGTATCCAGAAAGTGGAGGACCACATCACTGTATCCAGAAAGTGGAGGACCACGTCACTGTATCCAGAAAGTGGAGGACCACGTCACTGTATCCAGAAAGTGGAGGACCAAAGGACCACATCACTGTATCCAGAAAGTGGAGGACCACATCACTGTATCCAGAAAGTGGAGGACCACATCACTGTATCTAGAAAGTGGAGGAACACATCACTGTATCCAGAAAGTGGAGGACCAAAGGACCACATCACTGTATCCAGAAAGTGGAGGAACACATCACTGTATCCAGAAAGTGGAGGACCACATCACTGTATCCAGAAAGTGGAGGACCACATCACTGTATCCAGAAAGTGGAGGACCACATCACTGTATCCAGAAAGTGGAGGACCACATCACTGTATCCAGAAAGTGGAGGACCACATCACTGTATCCAGAAAGTGGAGGACCACATCACTGTATCCAGAAAGTGGAGGACCACATCACTGTATCCAGAAAGTGGAGGACCACATCACTGTATCCAGAAAGTGGAGGACCACATCACTGTATCCAGAAAGTGGAGGACCAAAGGACCACATCACTGTATCCAGAAAGTGGAGGACCACATCACTGTATCCAGAAAGTGGAGGACCACGTCACTGTATCCAGAAAGTGGAGGACCAAAGGACCACATCACTGTATCCAGAAAGTGGAGGACCACATCACTGTATCCAGAAAGTGGAGGACCACATCACTGTATCCAGAAAGTGGAGGACCAAAGGACCACATCACTGTATCCAGAAAGTGGAGGACCACGTCACTGTATCCAGAAAGTGGAGGACCACATCACTGTATCCAGAAAGTGGAGGACCACGTCACTGTATCCAGAAAGTGGAGGACCAAAGGACCACATCACTGTATCCAGAAAGTGGAGGAACACATCACTGTATCTAGAAAGTGGAGGACCACATCACTGTATCCAGAAAGTGGAGGACCAAAGGACCACATCACTGTATCCAGAAAGTGGAGGACCACATCACTGTATCCAGAAAGTGGAGGACCACGTCACTGTATCCAGAAAGTGGAGGACCACGTCACTGTATCCAGAAAGTGGAGGAACACATCACTGTATCCAGAAAGTGGAGGACCACATCACTGTATCCAGAAAGTGGAGGACCACATCACTGTATCCAGAAAGTGGAGGAACACATCACTGTATCCAGAAAGTGGAGGACCAAAGGACCACATCACTGTATCCAGAAAGTGGAGGACCACATCACTGTATCCAGAAAGTGGAGGACCACATCACTGTATCCAGAAAGTGGAGGACCACATCACTGTATCCAGAAAGTGGAGGAACACATCACTGTATCCAGAAAGTGGAGGACCAAAGGACCACATCACTGTATCCAGAAAGTGGAGGACCACATCACTGTATCCAGAAAGTGGAGGACCACATCACTGTATCCAGAAAGTGGAGGACCAAAGGACCACATCACTGTATCCAGAAAGTGGAGGACCACATCACTGTATCCAGAAAGTGGAGGAACACATCACTGTATCCAGAAAGTGGAGGACCACATCACTGTATCCAGAAAGTGGAGGACCAAAGGACCACGTCACTGTATCCAGAAAGTGGAGGACCACATCACTGTATCCAGAAAGTGGAGGACCACATCACTGTATCCAGAAAGTGGAGGACCAAAGGACCACATCACTGTATCCAGAAAGTGGAGGACCACATCACTGTATCCAGAAAGTGGAGGAACACATCACTGTATCCAGAAAGTGGAGGACCAAAGGACCACATCACTGTATCCAGAAAGTGGAGGACCACGTCACTGTATCTAGAAAGTGGAGGACCACATCACTGTATCCAGAAAGTGGAGGACCAAAGGACCACATCACTGTATCCAGAAAGTGGAGGACCACATCACTGTATCCAGAAAGTGGAGGACCAAAGGACCACATCACTGTATCCAGAAAGTGGAGGACCACATCACTGTATCCAGAAAGTGGAGGACCAAAGGACCACATCACTGTATCCAGAAAGTGGAGGAACACATCACTGTATCCAGAAAGTGGAGGACCAAAGGACCACATCACTGTATCCAGAAAGTGGAGGACCACATCACTGTATCCAGAAAGTGGAGGACCACATCACTGTATCCAGAAAGTGGAGGACCACATCACTGTATCCAGAAAGTGGAGGACCACATCACTGTATCCAGAAAGTGGAGGACCACATCACTGTATCCAGAAAGTGGAGGACCACATCACTGTATCCAGAAAGTGGAGGACCACATCACTGTATCCAGAAAGTGGAGGACCAAAGGACCACGTCACTGTATCCAGAAAGTGGAGGACCACATCACTGTATCCAGAAAGTGGAGGACCACATCACTGTATCCAGAAAGTGGAGGACCACATCACTGTATCCAGAAAGTGGAGGACCACATCACTGTATCCAGAAAGTGGAGGACCAAAGGACCACATCACTGTATCCAGAAAGTGGAGGACCACATCACTGTATCCAGAAAGTGGAGGACCACATCACTGTATCTAGAAAGTGGAGGACCAAAGGACCACATCACTGTATCCAGAAAGTGGAGGACCAAAGGACCACATCACTGTATCCAGAAAGTGGAGGACCACATCACTGTATCTAGAAAGTGGAGGAGTTGAATGGATTGTAAGGGTGAAACGAGGTGCGGATGCTGCCTTAGACCACCAACTCGTGGTTGCAATATTAAAATAAAAACTAAAAGCCTACAGGGATTGAGCTGACACTTTTAAGTTCATTAAAACATATCTGAAGAGTCCAAAAGTAAAGGAAGACTTTAACTGCGCAGTAAAAATAGGCACTCTCCTATCTGGCAGAAAAAAAAACAGTTGAGCAAAAAATAGCTAGGAATACAGGAGCTATGGAAGTCAACATGCACTGACATATTGGGAAGGAAAAAAAATGAACAAAAAGAATGGATCACAACAGAGACATGTGCCAAAATGGAAGATAGAAAAGAGATAAAGCAGAAGATGAACCAATGCAAGGATGAAAAAGAGAAAATAAACCTCAGAACACATTATTGTGAAGTAAATCGCATGGTTAGGAAAAGTGCAAAAAAAGACAAAAGTCAGTTCATACAAGAGATGACAGTGAAGAGAGAAACTGCAGCAGGACAAGGAAATATGAAGAGGCTCTATGAAGTAACTAGAACCATATCAGGCAAAAATATTAATCCCAATAAACCAGTTAAGGATAAAGTAGGAAATATCTTAACAAGTGACACAGAACAGAGAGACAGATGGGTACAGCACTTTGATGAGATTTAAAACCATCCTCTCTCATCAAACATCCCTGATATACCACCTGCAAACCACCTACTAAATGTGAGTACAGATTCCCTTCCCCCCCCCTCCCTCCCCCCTCCCCCCCCCCCACACACACAAAGTTAGAAATAATGAGAGTAATAAAGAGCTTGAAAAATGGCAAAGCAGCTGGCCCGGACGGCATCCCACCAGAGGCACTAAAAGCAGACCCAGCCATATCAGCAGACATACTACATCCTCTACTTAAGCTGATTTGGGAAGAGAGATAATTCCCTCTGACTAGAAACTGGGCTACCTGATGAAAATTGCCAAAGAAGGGAGACCTGACACAATGCAACAACTGGAAAGGGATAATGCTTCTCTCAGTACCAAGTAAGGTGCTGACAAGAATCATCCTAGAGAGACTTAGAGATGCCTTGGACAAAAAGCTGAGACAAGAGCAGGCTGGTTTTCGTCAGGACAGGTCATGTACTGACCACATTGCCATGCTGCGCATCATTATCGAACAGTCCCTTGAGTGGCAACCCCCCCTTATACATGACTTTTGTCGACTTCAAAAAGATGTTTGACAGTGTGAATAGAGATGTTATTTGGAAGCTAATGAGCCACTATGGAATACCCAAAAAATGTATATCTATCACACAGAAACTATATGAAGACTCCTCCTGTCTGGTAATACACAAAGGAAAACTAACAAAACCCTTCACCGTGAAAACGGGAGTGAGACAGGGATGTATGCTATCGCCAATGATATTCTTGATGGTAATCGACTGGATCATACTGCAAACTACAAAAATTTTTTACTGATGACATCTCCCTACTATCTCACAAGCATCAACATGCACAAGCCAAACTGAATCGGCTACCTGAACAAGCCTCCAAAGTTGGACAAAAATCAACAAAAGTAAAACGGGGAGGGGGGGGGGGGGGTGTCTCTGCCCCCCCCCCCCTCCCCTGAAGAAAGTGTACCCCCCCCCCTGAACGAGAGGGAATTTATATTGTAAACATATACTTGTACTAGTGTCGTTCGTCCCCCCCCCCCCTCCTCGGAGAAAAAAAGTCCGGAAGAAACACTGTATGGAAGTGCACAGCCCTGTCACTCCAGAGCAAGATAAAAATTTTCAATACAAATGTCAAGGTGGTATTGCTCTATGGCTCGGAAGCGGAGGGCTACAAAAGCAAATACAGATAGGCTACAGTGACTACAGTTGTTTACAAATAAATGCTTACGACATATACTTAAAATAAAATGGCCAGACAAAATATCAAACAAAGACCTGTGGTAAAATACAAAACAGCTGCCAATAGAGAAGCAAATCAAGGCCCGTGGGATGGATTGGTCACACGCTAAGAAGGGAAGTAGGAGATATTGTAAAACATGATATGGACTGCAACCCCCAGGGAAAAAGGAAAGTGGGCCGGCCAAAGATAACATGGAAAAGAACCATAAAGGCTAAGACCGCTAGGCTCACGTGGGCACAGATAAAGAGAGCAGCACAAAACCGAGTCCGCTGGAAAACTGCAGCCCTCTGCTCCCCAGGGGCTACAAAGGGAAAATGAATGAGTGCATTATTACATAAAAGCTTGTTATTAAATTTTTTTTATGCAATTTTTTAACTAATTAACTTTGGATTAGCCTAGATTTTGGATCTCCAACAGAACTAAAAATAGCTTCAACATACTTTATTTGTAGATCTAGATAAATTCATACTATTCTCAAATTTGATGAGCTGCGAAGCCTATAGTAATAATAATTAACAATAGTGTTGGAACCTACAAAAAATGTACAGACTTTTTGTTTAACAGAAAATTTAGCTTTATAACAAATTAAACTTTTCAATGGGCAACATGGCAAGTTTGTTGTGAAACTAATATTTGTTCTAAACTTGTTTTATTAAATTTAAAGGTGCGTTTCTATTTATGAATATAACATTAAATTAATTAACCTCTGAAAATAAAATTGTGTAATACATTGTTCTCTAAATCAATATGGCCTACTTATTTTACAGTTCTACACTTAGTGTAGATTCTCTGGCTAAGCGGAACCAACAAACGAAAATAAAAAAAGTAAACATTTAAATATTCTAACTCGCGAGTTTTAGTAGAATATAGATAAACTACTGTAATTTGAATAAAACAGCAGTATTTTTAAAAAACCATTTAAATTTTTTTCTTTTTTTTAAAATACTGATTTTTCTTAAAATCAGTTTAAAGACATACCATCCCATAGTCTGTTTAAACAAAGCAACACCTCTATATTTTAAATATCAGCCCAAACAACAGATTAGTTTCACTTTGATAACAACTACATTTTCTTGTCTATTTTTTAAGTTATTCACATCATTATCTATATATATAATTCTCTTCTTGGAGACCATAGAAAACACCAAGCTGTAAGCGCGCCTCCTATCAGCCCCCTCTCTTCCTCTCTAGGCATATCGCTACCACACCCACCCCCACACGGTCTGGTGAGCTGTGGTTCACGCTAAATGTTTACAATCGTAGAGCCGAGTTTAGTGACGGCTATTAGGGGCATATAATTTAGTTTGAAACGATTTTAAACTTAGGGGAGGTAACTAAGAGGAGGCTGTTTTCACGGGGGGGGGGGGGGGGTGGATGTAGGGGTTGTGGGAAAGGAGGGTTTTAGTTTTTTAAAGCAAATATTTTCAGTGGCAGCATTCAAATTATGAATTACTGAAAAGTAGAAGATAAAACAATAGCGGCGTATGATTCGCCGCGGGTCGGCTCGTATGGTTATAATCCCTTAGTACATAAAGAAAATAATATTGCTGGGTAATATCTTGATACTGACCTTTAAGTTAACATTAATCACATCATCAAAAGCTTGTTCATCAAGTTTTAAAAGAAAATTATCCTTAGTGATTCCAGCAGCATTGACAGCTAAAGTTGGAACGGATTTGAATTTTTCTTCAACTTGTGACAGCATACTTGTAACTTGTGCAGAGCACGCAACATTGGCGGCAAAAGCTTCATGGTGGGTTGCTGCATGTCAATACACAGTTCAAAACATTGAAAAATGTGCATAGAAAGACAAATATGGACTCATGCTAACATAAATATCTTACAGTCTATGCCCAGAATGCTGGCCATTTTGTTTATTGATTTGGATAGCCTGTTTGTAAGAAACACTGGGTTAGAGAGATGTTTGTAAGAAACACTGGGTTAGAGAGATGTCTGTAAGAAACACTGGGTTAGAGAGATGTTTGTAAGAAACACTGGGTTAGAGAGATGTCTGTAAGAAACACTGGGTTAGAGAGATGTTTGTAAGAAACACTGGGTTAGAGAGATGTCTGTAAGAAACACTGGGTTAGAGAGATGTTTGTAAGAAACACTGGGTTAGAGAGATGTTTGTAAGAAACACTGGGTTAGAGAGATGTTTGTAAGAAACACTGGGTTAGAGAGATGTCTGTAAGAAACACTGGGTTAGAGAGATGTTTGTAAGAAACACTGGGTTAGAGAGATGTCTGTAAGAAACACTGGGTTAGAGAGATGTTTGTAAGAAACACTGGGTTAGAGAGATGTTTGTAAGAAACACTGGGTTAGAGAGATGTTTGTAAGAAACACTGGGTTAGAGAGATGTTTGTAAGAAACACTGGGTTAGAGAGATGTTGGTTTATTTATTCTGGCTGTAGACTACACCAAACTATAAAACTGTACAAAACTGATATAGAAATTATGACTAGCGTGCCCGTCCCCCGCGCGCTGCTGCGGGGGTTAGAAGAAAGTCTGAGAATAGCCTGTGGCAAATCACACTATGCGCAAATGGCACGGACTCGCCGGATTAAGTATAGTGAATGACTATAATGCGACTTCTTATCCATATTCTATCACGCTTTTTAAAACGAATGTATGTGCTATAGCGCTCACGTGATAACCCGGGGTGCCAAATTGCACCCTGCTGGGCACCGCCAATTCAAAATCGAAATTGTTTTCTCACAAACCTCCCCAGAAGTATTCTCAACAACTTCCCAAAGTTTCATGGTGATCGGATGATAGGTGTAGTAATGCATAAAAGAAATACAGACAGACAGCCACACATACATTGCTTTTTATATATGTATAGATTACATTCATAAATGTTTTGTTTAAACAAAAGTGAAAGTCATCCTAGAAATGAAATAAATTTGATTCCTAAATTAAACTCAATCACACACATTTAGTGCAATCAATATAACATTGATATAACAACAATCAATATAAGATTGATATAACAAGTCTAAAGTGTAAGCATTCTATAACCCATAAAAACCATGAACAATTGCATACTTATTTTTTTTGTTGCAAAAATAAGACAATCCTGATCATAACCCACCCCATAACTGTTACTCCTCATATTATACACACAATAGCTAAGAAATACCCTACTTCCCATGAACAATAAAAGAATTAGATAAAGATTGGATCACAACATACTATAGGACACAGCTTGCTATATCTTTAATAGAAACAAGTGTCAAGCTTTCTATCCTATTACAAGCAAAAATGTAAAAACAAGTAGTGTCAAGGTATTCAGTCCACAATTCTAATAGGCAGATATGTGTTAAATTACCAAAAAAAGATTTAAAAAATCAAAGTCATAATGGTTCAAAACCAATAAACACCAAACATGAGACTTAACAATAAAACAAAACCTAAAATTAATTACAAACCTCAAATGAGTAGCCTTATTTTACACCAGTTTAAATGTTAAACTAGCTCAATGCTGAAAAGAAACTTAATTTATAATAGATTGTGCACTACAAAAAAACAGTTCATCCTACCCATGTAACGTTACTTAACATTTTAATGCTTTACTCATGCTAGTGCTATAGACCACAACCTCTCATATTAAATTAATAGAAAAAATCAGTATTTCACTCCCAATATGAATAATACACTACTTGGTAGGACACAATTATTTTAAAGTAAATCATGTAATCATCCATATCAGAGTTAGTTCCCAATACTTAGATTCTTAATACTACCCAGTCCAAATACTTCTCATTAGGTAATTATCAAAATATGAATTAGGCATTTTCTGAGTTTCTTCAATGTAATGCTAAAAGAGATTTCCTCCAACACAACTGTCAATATGTTTTGTGCCATTTGGCCAGTTGACTCAGATTTCAGCATGCTAAATACTATTCTTTCTAGAGTTGCTTTTGTCCACAAAAGAACAAAATGCCATGTAGCAGTTGTTTGATTTTGGAGTTTTCTCTACTAGATGGGTGGCTGTCACCAGCTAATGAGACTGCTATGGCCAGGGGTTCAAACTCTGGACTTTAAGAGTTAGCAATCAATGGCCCTCCAGCTTGACCACACCATCCCCTTTTCCCTGAGCAATCATGAAGAACATAGCTTACAGTTGGGTAAAGATGAAACAGTTTCTTGGGCTGATGATTTATTCAAGTCAACCACTGCTATTTTAGCTCCTTCTCTGGCTAAAACTGAACACACAGCACGTCCAATCCCACTTCCGCCTCCTACAAGTAAAAATAAAATTACATAATGTAACAAATGCTACATAGAATGTCTGCACAGAAGGCAATGCCATAGGCCAACCAATATTTCTGTACAAAATATTATTACATAGAACAAGAGTATGTCTGTATATACATACATATTTCTTTATATCATCTATATGTATGCCTGTCAATATCTTTGTCTATCTACCTATCTACACATACACACAATAAGGAAGGATCAAATATGTAAGAAATAGCACACTAACAACCATGCAATGTGTGTGTGTGTATGTATACATAACATGTCATTTAATCAGGCAAAAAATGCCATACCTTGAATGCATCATATCATTTTATTTTAATTATAGGATTTGAGGTCTATTATGTACTGCCTTAATTTTGAAGTATATCAAATATGGTTTAGGTTTCCATCTGTTCACATATTATTTGACAAAAGAACATAAAGAGAATAGCACATACATGCAGATTGTTAAAGCATATTAATTAAACTGCTCAATGTCAAATAATATTTAGACAGACTGCTAGAACAAAAGCGATAAATATTAATAATAATAGAAAAATAAAATTAAAAAATCAATTTTAATGGTAGGGGAGGTAATTTAGAGTTAACTCCCAACTAACATTTGATATTTAACTAAAAATTACAAATTTAAATTTATTTTATTTTCTTGCAGCACTTATTATTGTTAGGTTAAATAATTAAATAAGATGAAAGGTTAGATTGTAATTATCAGTTTTATTCAATAGATCAATCCCTATTTATTTTTAAAATTCCTACTGATTTAGCTATTGTCTTAAATGCCATGGTTAAATTAAACGGTAGACATGATTAGTGCAATGATCAAAGTTAAGGTTGTGGGTGCTATATCAGCATGAGAAACACAAACATAGGTACAGCAGTTTAAGGTTGTGGGTGCTATATCAGCATGAGAAACACAAACATAGGTACAGCAGTTTGGATAATACAATGACCCAAGTGGATTTGTTTATATCTCTTGTGCTGTCACTGTAGGGTTATGTTTAAGAAAAAACCTTATTGTGAATAATAACCTACCAAAGTGTAGTATTGGTTTAACATACATGGATTAAACATGGCATTTTAAGTATAGCATTGCTTTCATAATTCAATGTGTTAAATTTACAGGTTTGCATTATGATGTTAAATGTATTGATGTATGATGTTAAATGTATTGATGTATGATGTTAAATGTATTGATGTATCGGATAACTACAATATGTTCTGCCTCTATGACATTTGTTACAAATGGTGTTTATGGTGGATGAGTAGTTGTGAGTGGATGAGTAGTTGTGAGTGGATGAGTAGTTGTGAGTGGATGAGTAGAGTAGTTGTGAGTGGATGAGTAGAGTAGTTGTAAGTGGATGAGTAGTTGTGAGTGGATGAGTAGTTGTGAGTGGATGAGTAGAGTAGTTGTGAGTGGATGAGTAGAGTAGTTGTGAGTGGATGAGTAGTTGTGAGTGGATGAGTAGAGTAGTTGTGAGTGGATGAGTAGAGTAGTTGTGAGTGGATGAGTAGTTGTGAGTGGATGAGTAGTTGTGAGTGGATGAGTAGAGCAGTTGTGAGTGGATGAGTAGAGTAGTTGTGAGTGGATGAGTAGTTGTGAGTGGATGAGTAGAGTAGTTGTGAGTGGATGAGTAGAGTAGTTGTGAGTGGATGAGTAGTTGTGAGTGGATGAGTAGAGCAGTTGTGAGTGGATGAGTAGTTGTGAGTGGATGAGTAGAGTAGTTGTGAGTGGATGAGTAGAGTAGTTGTGAGTGGATGAGTAGTTGTGAGTGGATGAGTAGAGTAGTTGTGAGTGGATGAGTAGAGTAGTTGTGAGTGGATGAGTAGAGTAGTTGTGAGTGGATGAGTAGTTGTGAGTGGATGAGTAGTTGTGAGTGGATGAGTAGTTGTGAGTGGATGAGTAGAGTAGTTGTGAGTGGATGAGTAGAGTAGTTGTGAGTGGATGAGTAGAGTAGTTGTGAGTGGATGAGTAGTTGTGAGTGGATGAGTAGAGTAGTTGTGAGTGGATGAGTAGAGTAGTTGTGAGTGGATGAGTAGTTGTGAGTGGATGAGTAGTTGTGAGTGGATGAGTAGTTGTGAGTGGATGAGTAGAGTAGTTGTGAGTGGATGAGTAGTTGTGAGTGGATGAGTAGTTGTGAGTGGATGAGTAGTTGTGAGTGGATGAGTAGTTGTGAGTGGATGAGTAGAGCAGTTGTGAGTGGATGAGTAGTTGTGAGTGGATGAGTAGTTGTGAGTGGATGAGTAGAGTAGTTGTGAGTGGATGAGTAGTTGTGAGTGGATGAGTAGTTGTGAGTGGATGAGTAGAGTAGTTGTGAGTGGATGAGTAGTTGTGAGTGGATGAGTAGAGTAGTTGTGAGTGGATGAGTAGAGTAGTTGTGAGTGGATGAGTAGTTGTGAGTGGATGAGTAGTTGTGAGTGGATGAGTAGTTGTGAGTGGATGAGTAGAGCAGTTGTGAGTGGATGAGTAGAGTAGTTGTGAGTGGATGAGTAGTTGTGAGTGGATGAGTAGTTGTGAGTGGATGAGTAGTTGTGAGTGGATGAGTAGAGTAGTTGTGAGTGGATGAGTAGAGTAGTTGTGAGTGGATGAGTAGTTGTGAGTGGATGAGTAGAGTAGTTGTGAGTGGATGAGTAGTTGTGAGTGGATGAGTAGTTGTGAGTGGATGAGTAGAGTAGTTGTGAGTGGAGTAGAGTAGTTGTGAGTGGATGAGTAGTTGTGAGTGGATGAGTAGAGTAGTTGTGAGTGGATGAGTAGTTGTGAGTGGATGAGTAGAGTAGTTGTGAGTGGATGAGTAGTTGTGAGTGGAGTAGTTGTGAGTGGATGAGTAGTTGTGAGTGGATGAGTAGTTGTGAGTGGATGAGTAGTTGTGAGTGGATGAGTAGTTGTGAGTGGATGAGTAGAGT